TTTTCCATGCATGACAGCTGCAGCTTACACCACCACACTCACTTGGAAACACCACACAACCTGACCAATCAGAATCACTCTTTCAACTGTTTGACCCACCACTTTAACTCTTGTACATGTCTGACCAATCACATTCACTCATTCAACTTATGTATGTAGCTAAAATCCCTCATGTAATAGCCCAGGCCAGCCAAAATCACTCATTACTGGCTGCCCTGGAGCTAAATTCCCTCACTATTTTCTATATAAGGAGGCTCTCCTCCCAGTTTTTGTCTCCTCAGTGTATTATTCATCAGTCACAGTTTAGTACCACTCAATCAAAGATACACAACATTTACAGAACCTTACCAATCACCAATAACAACTGAACTCATTTCTCAGCATCACACAAACTCATTCCTGAACTTACCCTATCACTTGATTAAAACTTGCCAAGCTGAGCTTGGTGGGTCTTGTTATCTGATAGTATAGAAGGGCAGAGCTTGCACCTCCACCATCCCCTTCTCCATTCAGCAAAAAGGGTCTTACAACCACTTTTTGAGTCTTACACCGGGTGTTGATTGGCTTGCCGGTTGAGTGTAGAGTGAGCCGACAAAAGTTGCTAGTTGCCGGTGGGAATTTGCTTGGTGTGGAGCACCAATCGATCCACCTCGCCTCTTCGCTGCTTGATGGTCCCCAGTTCGTTGTGGGCAATCGCGAGCGTAATGTCCTGGTGATTTGCACTGCCAGCACTTGATTGCTGTCGCCGCGTAGAACTCCAGAGCTTCCGTCCAGTTGTTCTCCGGAACATCGGCTAGGAACGTGTCGAAATCAAAATCATCTGGGTCCGTCGCCGCTTCCATGACCGATGGCAATTGGGGTCCCAATGCAGCTGAGGGATGCGATGAGTATTCGATCCACTGCTTTTGGCATATGTTGTAGTTATGCACAATAGCTTCAAACTTCGGGAAAGATTTTGACTCATCATTCTGGATGGCGTTCTCGATTCGTTGTTCAAATTCCTTCTTGAATGGCGCCGCTGATTGCATTACGGCCGTTTGGAACAGAAAACCAAACACCACATCCGAGCAGAGGCGACCGTTGAGGCTTTTGAGCTCGCTGTACAGATCTCGCACCTGTGCGACCAGGCTAGTTGACGGTTCCGAATGCTTGATGGTCAAATGGTTCATTCTTCTCCAGATGTTCATTTGTGCCGCACGAGAATTAGACGTGAACTTCTTCTTCAGGTATTCATAGATAGCGACAGTTTTCCCAAGAGGTTGTATGTCCGGGACGAGATCTTGATGGACACCCGCGAAGATAACTAGTCGACCGATCTTCTCAAAGGTTGAGTTGTCGCACTGACTGAAAAAAAATTGGCATCGGATAGGTGCGACGCTCCCGTTTCCCGGAGTTCGCGAGTCCACAGTGAGAAGTTTGATCCATCCGCGCATAGGATGTTTTCAGGTTTCCAACGTTGATTGATGTTCGAGACCGTTTGACTGATCAACTTCGCTTGTTCTAGTCGAACCTTCGCCTCTTGGAATTCCTGATATTCCCTCTCCGCGGTAGTCCGAGTGGTTTGATGAGGCGCGTGGTGTCGGTGGTATTGCAAATGTTGATGACTTCCCGACGCCTGAGGGAGATGTTGCGAGCTAGATTGAGTAGGACGGTGCTCCTCATGTGTCCCAGCGTGACAACCATCGAGCGGCTGTTTGCCCTTGTTCTGTTTCTTAATGGTGGTGTCCACCAGCTGGGTTTCGTCGCTCCCGTCCAGGACAGCATTGAAAAGGGCCCCCATCCTTCTGGACCCATCCTCCGGATCCAAAACCGACTCCGAACCATTCGTCGAAGCGACACTAACCGATGACGACCTAGACCAGACGTTGCGCTCCTTATCGGGCCGAGACATGGCGTTAATAATGGAAATTTACAAGTAGGGAATAAAAGTGGGGAAAGGGAAAAAATGGAGAGGTTGTGAAGTGAGGGAGAGAGGAAGATAGCGAGAAGAAAAGAGAAAGGAAAAGTCGAGGGGAATGGATTATGTAGAAAGGGAGGGGAAAAAGAGGAAATGGGGAAAGACGATGTAGAGAAAAGTGGGGAGGTGTCGGAAAGGAAATCCAAAGGAAAAGGTTCGTGCGACTGTTTTTCACCGGTTCGCCGTGATGGATTGAGTCGTGGAGGAGTTGCGAGTGGATTGCGAGGAGAGATCGATGAAGTGTGTAACTTTTCTGCACCGGTTCAGGGCCACTGAACCGTAATAAATAGGTGGCTAATCTATTTAGCTTAATCAGTATACCAAAACTTCAAAGATTTCCCCGAATCTTATCGACAAGGTTCGAAGGCTGAGTTGATCGAAAAGGGTCGTGACGAGAAAGAAAAAAAACCCCACAACTTGGTTACGAAGCCAAGTTGACCGGTGTCGAGTAGAAAAAAAACGCCGGAATCCGCGGGTCGAATCGTGGATGATGGAGTGTAGGAAAAATAAAAATTAAGAATAAGCAAGAGTCCTTAAGGGCTCATAACCTATTGGAACTCAGACTGTGAAAGTGTGTAGTTCCCATACAGAAATAGACTAAGAGTCTCCCTCGGAGGTATCTCCCGAGTCCCCTCAGGTGCCGTGCTGCGGCGAGTCAGAGGGATGTAACAGTCATGTTACAACAGTCTGGGGGGCTCGGTGAACCCGATTGAAAATGAATGGATTTTATTCAAAACAAAAACAAAAACAAAAACAAAACCCACCGCCCAAACAAATAACTGGCACACTTTCGCACCACAGCACCAACAACCTCGACCAAGACCAACAACAACAACAGCAACAACAGCAGCAGCAACATCAGCAACAACAACAACAACAACAAAAATGGAAACCAGCAATAATAGCAAGAAACGAGGACCATCATCAACAACCATAGCCACTCAACCTGCCAACTTATCATCACCCAAACGGAGCAGAGTCAGTTCGCCATCATCAGATCAACAACAACAAGCTAAACATGAACGAGCCACCAAGACCCTCCCAAGCCAACAACCAGTGCTAGTGGCAGATGAATTTCAAACGGAAGCAGCCAGGCAGATCGATGCAAGCAATGGACTCCTACCAGAACAGCCTGGCACAGGAGAAGAGAAACCACAACAACTAACACTCTCCCATCAAGTTCGGCACCAAGTGGCCCTACCACCCAATTACAACTACATCCCCATCTCGGCCCATCGAGCTCCAAGCAAACCGGCTAGGACGTATCCCTTCACGCTCGATCCCTTCCAACAGGTCTCGATCACCTCAATCCAACGCAACGAGAGCGTACTCGTCTCAGCTCATACTAGTGCTGGTAAGACCGTCGTAGCCGAATATGCTATTGCCCAATGTCTCGAAAACAAACAGAGGGTCATCTACACCTCTCCTATCAAGGTATGTCAATCCTGGGGATCTTTTGAAACTGGAATTTTCATTCATATAATTGCTCTCTTTTCTCTTGTAGGCTCTTAGTAATCAAAAGTATCGTGAATTGATGGCCGAGTTTGGGGATGTCGGCTTGATGACTGGGGATGTGACCATCAATCCAAGTGCATCATGTCTAGTCATGACAACTGAGGTTAGTGCAAAAAAAAACACGTCTACTCCTCCTAACATAACAAAAAAAAAAGGCAAGAAAGCTGCATCGTGAAGAAGTGGCTGATTGAATCATTCGCAACAGATTTTACGGTCTATGTTGTATCGTGGCTCAGAAGTAATGAGAGAAGTGGCTTGGGTGATCTTTGATGAAATTCATTATATGCGCGACAAAGGTAACTGGTCACTTCAAACGGTCTTCTCTATACTAGCATTCAAGGAAGTTAATCCATTTGTTTTTTTTATCGCATCAGAAAGAGGAGTAGTTTGGGAGGAGACTATCATTCTTTTACCCCATTCGGTTCGATATGTATTCCTATCAGCCACAATACCTAACGCGATGCAATTTGCCGAATGGATTTGTCATACCCACGATCAACCCTGTCACGTAGTTTACACCAACTTCAGACCAACCCCATTACAGCACTATTTATTCCCATCTGGAGGCGACGGAATCCATTTGGTCGTCGACGAGAAGGGCGTCTTTCGCGAGGATAACTTCTTAAAAGCGATGGGCTCCTTGAACGATTCGAGAGGTGAAGATCCTGCGAGCTCGATGTCTGGTCGAAACAAGCAGGGCAAGACCAAGAAAGGCGGCAACTCGACCAAAGGCCCTTCAGATATCTACAAGATCATCAAGATGATCATGGTCAAGAATTACAATCCAGTCATCGTCTTCGCATTCTCCAAGAGAGAGTGCGAGGCTTTAGCGATTCAAATGTCCAAGCTAGAATTCAACTCAGAAGAAGAAAAAGAGACAGTCGACACGGTCTTCAAGAACGCGATCTCTAACTTGTCTGAAGACGATCAAGCCTTACCACAGATCGAGCATATCTTACCACTTCTGAAACGAGGGATTGGGATCCATCATGGTGGTCTACTGCCGATCCTCAAGGAGGTCATCGAGATCCTGTTCCAAGAAGGGCTGATCAAAGTCTTATTCGCTACCGAAACCTTCTCGATCGGCTTGAACATGCCAGCCAAAACTGTCGTCTTCACCACCGTCCGAAAGTTCGACGGGAAAGACTTCAGGAGTTTGAGCTCGGGTGAATACATTCAAATGTCTGGACGAGCTGGTCGTCGAGGACTGGATGACCGAGGGATCGTCATCATGATGTGTGATGAACAACTTGAACCCGCTACTGCTAAAAATATGGTAAAGGGTGACGCCGATCGTTTGGATTCTGCTTTCCACTTGGGATACAATATGATTCTCAATCTGATGAGAGTTGAGGGCGTCAGTCCTGAATACATGCTGGAAAAATGTTTCTTTCAATTTCAAACACATGCCAACTTGCCGCTGTTAGAAAACGGTCAGTCCTCATAGACGATTTACTATTTATCTTCCTTTTCTTCCAGCACTTGTATTCACGGTTCTTTCCTCAACCTTTTTCCTTTTGGCACGGTTAATGGTCAAAAAGAGCTCCGGGAGCTCCAAAGGATGCGATCGAAGATCGTTGTTCCAGATGAAGAATCAATTGCGGATTATGCCAAGCTACAAGAAGAACTAGAAATCCGAAATCAAGATTTTAGGGATGTGATTAACCATCCGACCCATGCGCTTCCTTTCCTGCAACCAGGAAGATTAGTTAAGGTGAAGTTTGGAACGATGGATTTTGGATGGGGATGTGTGGTGAATTTCCAACGAAGATTAGGGGATCGAGGAAAATCACTTGGGCCTGAGACAAAACCACAGGACAGCTTCATTGTCGACGTCCTATTGAAGATCTCAGCCGGGAAGTCGGGTCCGAAGCAGCCTCCCTCGAAGATGATTGGTGGTAACCAAACAAGTCTCGTCAAACCCTGTGAGCCAGGAGAAGAGGGTGAATGCGCGGTCGTTCCGGTCCTCTTATCCACTCTGGATGGGATCTCGAAGATCCGAATCTTCCTGGCCCAAGATCTGAAACCAATGGATGCTAGGAAAGGCGCTCTGGACGCAGTTGCAGAAGTCAAGCGAAGGTTCCCCAACGGTATCGGATTGCTCGACCCGGTCGAAAACATGGGGATCGTCGATGAGACGTTCAAGAAACTGATCAGCCGGATAGAGAACCTGAAGGAGTCGATTAAGGATCACAAAGTGATCACCCAAGAAGATTTCCACGACCAGTATAAACTTTACCAAGAAAAGCAACAAGTATATCAACTGATCAAACAGATCAAACAGAAGATTTCGAATGCGGAAAATGTGATTTACATCGAAGACTTGAAGAAGCGCAAGACGGTACTGAGGAGTCTAGGATTTTGTAACGTTGATGACATCGTGCAAGTCAAGGGAAGGGTCGCATGTGAAATTTCTTCCGGAGATGAGCTCCTGTTGACCGAGTTGATATTTAATGGCGCGTTCAACGATCTTTCTCCCGAACAATGTGCAGCCTTACTAAGTTGTTTCGTGTTTACTGAGAAGGTACGTGGGACCAGTTTTTATTTTTGATCAGTTTTGAAATATCATTAAACTCTAACGCGACCGATGATGAACCTTTTGTTGTTTCCCCTGCCTGCTCCAATCGATCCCCAGAGTGAACAAATAACAAGACTGAAGAATGAGCTTGAGGAGCCTATGAAGAAGATGAAAGAGGCTGCCAAGAAAATCGCCGAGGAGATCAAATCAGCCGGTATAGATATCAAAGAGGAAGAATATATCGATTCCTTCAAGACCGAATTGATGGATGTCGTCTTCCATTGGTGTAAAGGCTCGACATTTTCGGAGATCTGTAAAGTTGAGCTCTTTTCTCTCTGGATCCACTTCTCTTTGTTATTAAACATCCACTGTGGATCCGAACGTGCCCGCTGACCAAGAACACTCCACATCCTTTTTGTTTTATTGTGATGATGGATTCCTCGTTGCAGATGACCGACATATTCGAAGGATCGTTGATCAGATGCTTCCGGAGATTGCAGGAACTGATCCGACAAATGTCGTGTGCAGCCAAGTCGATAGGAAATGAAGAGTTGGAGACCAAGTTCACCCAGTCCCTAGATTGCTTGGAACGGCCCTCCAGTGTCGTCTACAATGTACGCCCTCTTTCTCTCTCTCTTCTCTTTCTTGAATCTTGTGTCATTTCCAGACCGTTTGTTGACTAAGTTCTCTCTCTTCTTCTCACAGCCTTCTTTGTATCTCTAAGTACATTCGAACTCTTTCTATCTCTTTTATTCATATATCATCAACCGTTAAATCCTTCTCCCCCAAAACAAGGAAGTTTCGCTTTCTCATTGTGTGTGTTTATTTTCGCTCTACTTTTCTCTTATTTTTATGTGTGTTTTATCGTTTTGATCACAATTTCGTAAAAGGTGACGACAACTAAAATAGATGCATAACTTAAAGTATATATATATACATATATATCACAAGAGGTCCGACGAGTATATTCGAGTTTCGTTCTTGAGTTGCAGATGTGCGTGGTCAAGATGAAAGACGAGATGAAACGACTTGTGCGGTTAACTGTGTAACTGATTTTGAGATCCCCCGTCATAAATCACGGGAAAATAACTAAAAAATTTCTCAAGTTAAATCCATCTTTTCTTGATAATTCATACATCATTATCAGTGTTGCTCTTGCTCAAGGCTCAAATGATTTCAGTGAACTTGTCTTAAATAATGCACTGTCAAACTATGGTATCAGTACTTTTCAATGGGAAGCACCACCAAAATAAGATGTTAATCTTGGGTTGGTCATTGAAAGCAATGTTGAGATTGTATGAGTTTCTCTTCATAGGAGAGGGGAACAGAACTTCTCTGCCTTGGCCTCTCCCAATGATGAGATCAGTACTTTAATCTGTCTTTCCTCCTTTTTCTTTTTGGCATATACATCTGCAGGACCTCTTTCAATGGTGGGTCATCCAATCACAATGTAAGGTCAAGTATTGAGCCAGGTTGGCCAAAATTTATGCCCAGTTACTGAAGCCATATAAGATTTATTCTTATCATTCAGAAGAAACAAGCCAATGTATGGGTTACATACTTGATTTGATCTGTATGGGTTGTTTTATTTTCTTTTATTTGAGCTCCAAGAGGATAACACAAAATGATCAGGATTGATGGTGCCCACAGCCTAGTCTGCATGCCCTGCCAGCCAGCTGTACTGCAGTTTGATAACACAACTTTCAAGGTGCCCTGGGTGTCACTGCCACACCAGCAAGTCAGAAATGTGAAGAATGGTTTGTGGCATACAGCAAGCACAGCCTTTTTTATGGATAGGGAACCTGCCCTGAATTTGATGATCACTGATAAATATGGGAACTGAATCAGGCTGTGCATGCTTGTATAGTTTTGGTGGACCTCCTGAGCCAGTTGAGATGTCAGGAGGGATAATTGGGCCACACATATTCCATGTGACCAGTGATTTCTGGCTTCAATTGTCTTGTTGAGAGTTGAAGAGAGGCAGAAAAGAAAATTCTTACCAAGCATTTTAAAACATGCACTGTTATGTATTCTCCAGAGAGCTCAGAATGAAACCTTATCCATAAACACATAACCTCAAGATGATTTAATCACAGTTTGATTGTGGACCAGCCTAAATCATACATAGAAAGAAGCATTATTTTTTGATCAGATTTATGTAAATATGTATAAGATCCTGTTTGGATGTATGTACAGTGGCATCTCATTAATTTGACATTGCTACATCTACATAACTCGATACCGGGGAAAAAAGTGTTTGGAATGTAGCACAATGCAGCACCGGACTGTGGAGTGGAAGACTGTGGATCTAAAATGGACTCCACTCGGACTGATTGATAAAATAGCTCAAACGGGTCCATTTTAGTTCTGCCACTGTGTATATCTAACTTTGGCTGACTCCTAATGTTTTTTTTTGGAGAAATTTGCAAGTATTCTGTAATCTGTAGATGAACACCCTCCAGGTTGACTCAAGTTAAACCACTCCTGAAGGTCGTGCGTGTCTTACCTCTCGACCAACTAATGCAAAGTTGGTCAAGTGGTTCTTACATATTAATGTTTGGCTCCACCTTCACCCAATGTAAATTGTATGCCAAATATTCTGTCCAGCTCAATGTTGTTCCGGTGCCCACAGCTTGACGAACGACTCCCGCTACGCAGTGGCCTTGGGCTTGCAAATCAGTTGGATTCTCTAGCAGGCTATGTAGCACCGATGGCTGGCCGGGAAGTGGTTTGGTGAACTTGTTGTCATGAACTCCTCTCTTGAAACTAGGCCAGAAAAGGTTTGAGCGACCCTCTCTCACTCACTCACCGCGGGCCGGATGGTGGTTTTTAGTGTCAAATCATGTATTGTCTTTTGAATAAAGCTTGGACAAACGAAAGTTTTCCAAGCGCTAAAGTTATGGAGTTGGGCTGCTGTGCAGCAGTTTAAGCTGCTTGTTTTTGCCACACAGCTCTGGTTTGATTCACCTCGCTGTAATCAAGCAGACACCAGCTCGCCGACCACCACCACCACCAATACTGTCCCCCCCCCCCCAATTATCCAGGCATCGATCCCAGACAAAACAACGATAGACGATTTTTCAATCGCACGAGGCATCTACCAAGGCTCGAGCAATCTTTATGGTACTTGAAGGACTCGAGTCTCTGGCCATCCAAAATTTAGTTTTTTTTATCTATCAGCGGTCGTTGTGTCATAAGAAAAGAGCTAAATGTGTCCTCATGGTCGGTAACAGCAAGTACAGGCCTTTCAAGTCTCCAATCAGACTGATCACCCAGACCTGACAATCAGACAAACAACCACGGATGTCATAACGGTCGTTCTTAACTCGAACACCTACAGGCATTGTGAGCACTGCTGATCATCTTCATCTACTTTTGGTTTTTGTCCTCATTACCTGACTACCGGTTTGTCCACAATGCCATTCACATCGCGTATCGCTTTTTGGTTGCTTACTCAGGTGCCTGCATAGATTTATTTGGATCGCATACATATCCCCTCAGTATTCATCACAAGCATATCGAATGAACAAGAGGAAACAATTGGTCTTGATCTTTTACTCAAAATGTCTGTTCTTCTGCATTTTTTTTTTCTGATTTGGGTGTTGTTACTCATCTTATCCTTGAATGAAGTTTAAGATACAATTGTAACTAGGAAAGTAGCCTATGTATTCATCCCTATGAAACCTAGTAATGAAATGATTTTGAATCAAATTCAAGTGAATCGTCGCAAGTCTAATGATGGTTGCTGCTGAAGCTGTAGCCAAAGATGACAGTCATTCGAAGGAGATGAGGACCGTGTCAGTAAACTTATTTGAACATTTTAGTTTACCCAAAGATCCTAGTGAACAAAGCCTCAACTTCTGATCAATAGATGTGCATCAACTCGGATGGGGTTACTCAAACAACTCATTCTAACTCAAGTCTTAAGATTGATCTCTCTTAACATGGCTCACATTTCATTTCAGACAACTCTGAGATCGATTGTACACATCTCACCAAGTCAATATTGAATATTTGATTCGATTTCTGCTAATCTTAAGATCAACAATGCCGTACACAACTAGGACAACAAGGATGATAGGAAACAGGTTAAGATCTATGTTATGGGCCTCGGCAAGACACATGATAGGAAATACACCAAGACCAAAAGCGATTGACTGAATAAGTGGAGATGGAAGACCTGTGCCAGTATAAGTGTATGCAGAGGGAACAAGACAAAATGGATAAGAAACAACACCCGTCCTGAGGAGTGTCAAGTTTGTAAAATACTGACTGGGATCTTCGAAAACAGTGGTATGATTTAATTTTCATGTATCCTCTGGAATTCGTTAGCAATGTGATAACCAGATGATGTCTTACTCCTTCCAAGAGGGTTGTATCCAAGCTGCGCCATCGAGACAATTGTTGAACCACCAACGCTATGATTGGTCAATCGTTTTTAGTGGTTTGGAGGTGGTTTGGAGGCAGCTCACCCGGATTGTGAATCAATAGTGATGGAGGCTGCTGTGGTAGCCTATGACGTCATCATGGCTTTAAGAGGGAAAAAATAAAATAAAAATCCAAACCTAAATGATGAAAATCCAAGATTTTTGATTGCAGATCCTGCAAATCCGTCCAAGCTTTCTTCAAAACACAATACTACACATCTATATGGGGTATGTGGTTAAGCTGTATGTCGTCTGCCCCACGCTCAAAAAATATGCTAAGTCCATACAAACTTATCTATGTATCCGTCGGCCAGTCTGCCGTGCCTATCAGCAGGGATTTTCGACTTTGGCTTGCTTTCTTTTGCCACTGATCCTCACCTCAGTCTTCAACCTTCTTCCGATTCCGGTACCTGCTCAGAAGAAACTTACGAAGATCCCCAGGGCATAGGACTAGCATAGGATAGCGAACAAAGGAAGCTTGCCAATTCTGCTTGACTTGCTCCCCACAGGTCATACAATTGAGCCATTGTCAGATATACTTCATAAACAGACCACTCTCCCTCTGCTTCTCCGGTTCCGGCGATTGTTCCTTCCTGACGACCACCTTCAATCCTCTCTTCCACAGCGTCCTACCCTCTCCAGCTTGTTATCTGACCCCCATCGCCACCTTCTATTGCACCCAGATATCCATCTAAAAAACCAACTCGCTCACCCACCCACACTTCCAATCCACCCAGTTCAAGCTTAACTATTAAAATAATAATCCAATTCCATCATGGCCGACAAGCAGATGGTTAGACCTGGGGCAGGAGTGTCAGTCACTTGGCACTATCTTAATCCCTTCCTGCCAGACTATCCTGCTGACTTATCCCACATCTCACTTGTCTTCCCCTCCCCTTCCTCTCATCCCTTTTGACATCGATAATGATCATCATCATCATCATCATCATCATCTCAGAGCTGGCCAGAAGATCAAAGTAACCGTGAATGCTTACAAAGTCACTCTGCCCAGCTTAGTCGTTCACCATTATGACGTAAGTCCATCTGATCTCTCCTGAACCTCTTGGAGCGCATGATCCGATCGGGCTTACATAGCCAGGTGGTCTTAGTTGGACATCAATACTGATTGAGCTTATGTTCTCCTGTTTAAATAAACTGTATAGGTTGCCGTCGAAGGCTTGATCAGCAAGCACGGCACCGTCGGCGATGTGCCTCCGTCATTAGGCCGGGAGATCTTTGCCGCTTGAAGCGATGACGCTTTCGCGATGCCCAGGTTGTTTACGATGGTAGAAAGACTTTGTTTGCACCAAAACTGCTCCAGTTTCCCGACAATAAACAGACCGTAAGTCCCCTTATCCCACTCATCCTAATCATCTCCTCTGACCCATTCACTAACCTCTCCATCCATCCTTCCTCCTTTCCAGTTCGATGTCAATTTGGCGTCACCAGCCGAACGCGCTGCCAAACGCAACCGTTCCTTCAAGGTCGTTGTAAGTGGTTGCGTGTCCTCCAACTGGTTCTTCATGTCCCTACCTTGTCTTCTAAAACAACAAAACATACTAACCACATTCAATCCGGTCTCTCAGCTCACCAAAGTCAACGAGGTCAAACTCGACAATCTGCTCAAGTACGTCAAGAAGCAAGTCGGATCCACCCCCGATGAAGGCGTTTACGTTGCCATGTGAGTTGATCACTCAACGGCCTGCCCTTGCTCCCTTTATAGTATTAGCCTCCAACTAAGCCTCTTCTTCTTTTTTATTGGGGGACTTTTTCAGCACTGCACTGAACGTCTTGTGCAATCACGATATGATGATGACCCATCCTACCTCCAAGAACAAGTTCTTCCCTCGTCCCCCGGGTAATGGTCCATCCGACATGTTGTTGCATATGAAAGCTGGCGTTGAGATGTGGCGCGGTTACTTTAGGTGATTTCCTATCGATTCACCCATCTCCTCGTCCGCCCCACAGCTAATCAGCCCTTTACCCTCCTCCCCTTTTCACTAGTTCGATCCGCATGGCTCCCGGTGGTCTCATTTTGAATTTCGATCTGACTTCTCAGCCCATGCTGAAAAGTGGTAACCTGGTGGACGTAGCTTGTGCCGTGATGGGATGCCATGGCCAACCCCCAGCCTTAAAGGGGCTCTCACCTGCCAAGTTGGTTCAACTCGGTCGCTCCCTGAAAATGATGAAAGTCTCTGTCAGTCGGGTCGACAAGACCATCTTGAGGACTAAAATCAAAGACGTCGCACCTTCGGCTAGAGCCATGTTCTTTGAGGCTCCCGTCTCGCCGGATTCGAGTGTCATGAAGAAGTGGAATGTCGCGGTAAGATCTGCCTTGTGCTGAGAGAATCCCATCATCCCCACTGACGTTTCCTCTTGCGTTGTCATCCAACCGTTTAGGAATACATCGAATTCACTTATAACATGAGGCTCCGGGGTGGCGATCTCCCCGTCGTCAAACTGACTGCCAAAGGATGGTACCCCCTCGAAATTTGCACCGTCGAACCCGGTCAGAAGTTTTCCAAGAAGTTGTCCCCAGAACAACTTGGTGAAGCTATCAAGTGGTTGACAGTCAGACCACAAGAGCGTACTAGGATGCTCACTGATGGAATCCGCAATCACGTCAAAACTGCTCCCACGTAAGCATTTCCTCGATCGATTAAATTTCATCAAGTCGCGAGCTGATCATCCCCTCAACTCGTTCGAAAATATTCGCGTGCTACCTTGATCAGCCTTGGCAAATGGGGGGTTCGCATGGACGCTGCCCCGCTCATCGTCCCCGCTCGTCGATTAGCTCCACCAGCTATCAACTACGTACATCCCAAGAGCAATAAACCGGAAGCTAGCCGAGCCGACAACGGCGCTTGGAACTTAGCTGGCAAAATGGTAATGAACTGAGCTTCAACTGGCTTTCCTTTTAGACTGCAGTTTCTTACTCACTCGCCTTGTTTTGCCAACAGTTCTTGAAACCTATGGCAGTGACAAGCTGGTGAGCCTTCTCTCTTATCCTCCATTAAATCTGGTCTTTCTGACCCAACAACTTTCCGCAACAATTCCGCAGGGTTGCCGTTGTTCTTGGTCGCCCTAATCATCATATCTCTCCACCGCAAGCCGCCCGAGCTTTGGAAGGCCTTCAATCAGCTATGTACGCCGCAGGCATGCAAGTGAGCGGCCTTCAAGCGCAAACCATCTTCGCCAACCAAAATGATCCTATGTCGCCCTCGGACGATACCTCTGTGGGGAAATGGATAATGTCCAAGATCAAAAGCAAACCGCAGTTAATTGTCTGCTTCTTGAGAGACAAAACCGCTTGGGAATACCGCCAGGTATGATGCGTGATTTCTTGTTTGTTGTTGTTGATGTTGTTGATGTTGTTTTGTATTTCTGTTGGCCTAAGATTAAACTTTTCGGCGATTCACTTCAAGGAATCGCCACTCAGTGCTTAGCTGTTGACAAAGTGGTCAACAAGGGCAATGCTCAATACTTCGCGTGAGTTCGAGAATCGCATCCTCTGGGTGTACTAAAACTAACACTGGCCTGATTTATATTCTGTTCTCTAACAAGCAATGTCGCACTTAAGATGTAAGCCACAATTTCCACATCTTCAGCATGATCACTTGGACGATAGTTGATTTTTTTTGCCTTATCCTCAGCAACGTTAAACTAGGAGGTGTAAACCATGGCGTAGGCCCGAGCGGTCGAATTTTCCCTACCCGCACCATGGTCTTGGGTCAGTCGATTCAAAAGTCCTTGAGCAAGAGAGTATTTGGATGTTGACTTTTTTTCCTTGTATCCTTGTGTTTTAGGTGCCGATGTAACGCACCCTGGTGGAGATAGCTTAGAGCCCTCCATTGCCGCGGTTGTCGGTTCCACCAACGAATTTGGTAGTGGCTATGGGGCTGAATTTTCTGTCCAGCCGGGTCGTCAAGAAATCATTTCTGACCTCCACCACATGGTCAAAGTAAGTGGGGGACTCTTATGCCAAAATCACTAATTGTTCGTGAGATTGAGCCAATGGCACCTGCACACCTACAGGAACTTTTGATCAAGTTTGCTCAGCGTAACAGTAACTTGCCGGATAAATTGATATTCTACCGTGATGGAGTCAGTGAAGGCCAGTTTCCTGATGTTGTTGCAAAGGAAATCCCCTTGGTCCGCCAAGCGATGCGTGCGGTTGGAGAAAACGCCAAATACACAGTCAGTGCTTATCGGCGTTCCATTCTTCTTGGGGTAATGAGCTAACTGAACCTTTTTACTTGAAAAAGGCCCAGGCAGCCGCCATGAAGTTAACTTACGTTATCTGTGGAAAGAGGCACCACTTCAAATTTGGGCCCACATCGGATAACAAAAATGAGTCCGATCGCAATGGCAACTTGTTCCCGGGGGTGGTTATTGACACGGTTTGTGATTCCCATTCATATTTTTCCCGTCGACGAGTACTCCATTAACTTTCTGCTGAACTACTCATTTAGGACATCGTTCACCCGTTCGACTTCGATTGGTATGGGCTTAGCCATGCTGGGCTCCTTGGTACCTCGCGAGCTTCCCATTACACCGTCTTGGTGGATGATGCCAAGCACAAACCTGACGACCTTCAGACTGTTAGTCTCCACTTCTCTTCATGACAATGGCAACGTGCTGACTGAGGCGGGCTCAACTTTTTCTTACCTCGTCCCTTTCTTCTTACAGATCACTTATCATTTGTCAGTTTCAAGCCTTTCTGATGGTTGATGTAAGAACTTGGTCGTCTCTTATGTCCTTTTTTTACTCGCAAAAATACATCCAGGTGCTACACTTATGCGCGAGCTACCCGCTCCGTGTCCATTGCCACCCCGGCTTATTACGCCCATCATGGTAATTCAATTGATTCCCTTTCGAATGTCATCATTCATCTTGCGCAAACTGGCTGACGCGGCATTCCTTATGATGACAGTTTGTACCAGGATCAAACAGATGTTAGCTGGTGTCGACGCTCGACAAAGTAGTACTTCGCCGACCGATATCGACTTGAACACCGCCTTGAGAGAGTACCAAACCAAGGCCAACGAGATCCGGGCCGCTTTCCGCGCAAGCTATAATGTAAGTTATTTCTTCTTCTTTCTATCCGTGATACCTGTGGTGTTTTTTCTTTCTTGTTTTGGTTGACTGTATGATTTGGCCCTCTCTCTCTCTTGCTCATTGTAGAAGGCGGGCACCTTCCCGGTCCCCGAGTACTGGATGTAGACCTCCACCACCCGTATATTCCTACAGGATAACGATACCGCCATGTGTCGGGGAGTGAATCGAAATTTACCAATGATACAATGTAGTACTATTGGTGTACCTCTAGTCCTCCAGCCTAGCTGGCTAAAAAAAGATCCATTTTCCAAAACCGTTTTTCCCTCCCCTTTTTTTACAAGATATGTAAACCTCATGCGTTTCCTCTTTTCACTTGTCTCTATCTTCTTATAATACGATACCTACTCTACTACCTCGTTTTGTTTTAATCCCGCCTGCTGGGGATTTAAAATTAGGGCCATGATACATACGACCTTTTTTATACATGAGAATTTACTACAATGTTATCCTTCTTCTGATCCTGCGATGTTGTTTGAGTGTAGTCAATCAATCTGATGACTGCAATGTACGTATGCTCTCTCGACTGCGAAAATGTAATCGGCCTCATTTGGTCAGAGCTGAACTTGATCCTCCGGATAATTGTACTGCTTCTATCCTGTTTATACATGCAAGTGGATCTTGACGCCTATGGTATGTCAGTTGACCACCTGAGCCTAACTTAGCTAACGGCGTCCCCCCTCCGAATAAAGAGGGACTTAGTTAAGTTAGACCTGAGCAGACATCACGGTTTCAGATTCTACAAACATCCTTCCACAACTTCGCATGGAGTCCCGAAACTGTGACCAACAAAATCCAGACGCCACTTCAATAAAACTGGCAATGCTAAACGAGCTTCTGTATCTCGCTTTGGCTGCCTTGTTGTAGCGTGCTTCACTCTCTAATGTCCCGTTGCCTCGCTATAGCTCGCTCCACACTATATTTGTCCCCGCGTCTTATCGAGTCGATACGACTGAGTATTCTCTTCAATGACCCCAGGAATCTCAAAATACACAACAGCTGTCCCTATGTAAGCTGGGCAATGGGGAGGCCACTGTCTTGTGTATGTAGCATCAGCTTATCAGACTTGTCTGTCCGAGCCTTTCTGCACGGTCAATGTATCCAGGTGGGTCATGGTGAGGAATTCGCGCAACACTCAAGAATTTGTTGTGCCACTGCTCGGGTCCAATCTGAGCAAGAATTCATGACTCTCACTGTAGTGAATCAAGCTGAGGCAAATTGTGGACCATGTCAACTTACAGTTTTCGCAGTAAACGCTACAGAAACTGGCGACTGGTTGAGTCGCCTATGAAAACCATTCAATCCAAGGTCTGGAGGAAGAGGATATAACTGGTGAGCTCCTCTGCTGAGCCAAAATAAGTCCTCTCTGTGCTTAGTCAACAAGATCTCAATTCCACCCCAATCCCTTTGAAAGATGTTTAACCATTTTTCTGCATGATGTTTGGCCAAATCATCATTTTTGGATCCTGGACTATTTCAACTGGAATGGCCATGAACACTGCTCTGGATCCAGCCAGGGCTATTTTGAAGGAAAATGCGGCAAATCATGGAGGTAAATACACACTCTTCTCTCTGGAAAACTTGCTCTACAAAGAGTGAATCACAATTTTCTCCCTGGATGACATTGATTTGTCCACTATCTCTTGTTTTTTTTTTGCATCACGATTCAAAGGTGTGAATTCTGCAGATTCAGCTCCTCTTGAGAATGAAAAAATCTCACAGGTGGAGGGGTTGATGCATCCCACTCCTAGCACATGTGAGCCACTTGACATCCCAGAATCAAAGAAAATTGATAGAAGAGTCACACTGAAATGCAGTAAACTTGCTTGGAATTCTTTGCCAGCAACTACTCAATCCAAAGAAGGCTACACAATCACTCTGGATGGGAATATCCAGAGACCTGTCCCAGAAAACCCTTACCGACTAAGTAAATAGCCATTTTATGGTAAAAGAAATTAAGATGACTAATCATGATTCTACTCACCTAATTATCCTGGTTTATTTTTGAATATAGAAAGTTTAAAATACAATACACCAGAGGAAAAACACATTCTTGATACAAAGAATTTGATCTTTGAGCTAAGAGCATGTATGTCATCCATTCTTCAATCATTGAGATCTTCAATAGATATCAAAGTACATGAAACAATTCTGATGAGTTTTTTTGGATGGTACCTCAGCCAATGGGTCCCCAGATGAAAGTAAAATGGCTTTAGAATCAAATAGATTTACTATGAAGGATGGAACTGTCATTGAAATTCCTCAAGCTGAATTTGATACCATTGGTAGATAATCTTTTATCCAAACCAACTTTACATCAATCCTAAGATTCTGACCAATTTTGATGTTTCTTATAACCATTGCCTCTCTTTCACAACCTTGAATGACTGTCAGTATCATCCACATTGACTGAAAGGGAGGACATATACCTGTATTTTGTGAATAAATCCATTTCACCAAATCCACCTATAGACACCAAAGAATGTAAGTGAACTTTTCACATCTGAAGAGTGAATGAGAATTTTATTTGATATTGATCTGAATTTTGATATCATGAAATTGCAGTCTTGATTATGAAAGAATTTGAGAAAAGAATAAGTGAGAATATGCCAAAATCTGCTTGATCTTTTACTATTCTGACCAAAATGATTGATATTCCCACAATTCAAATTTTAGGAGAATTGAGACTCCTTGAAGCCGATTTGAAAGATGTCAATGTGTTTTTATTGGATGCTGCTATGAGTACTCCTAAATTGAATCAGAAATATTCTGAAGCAATCAGAACACATGGTATTCATCATATTTCTCACTTTGGACAATTTGCTCAAAAAATGGAAAAGCAGATAATTGTTCTATATCACCTCAGGCGCATAAAGCTGGGGGTAATAGGAGAAGTGGAAGAACTATATAAAAGTATGGGAAAAGAAATGATATCCAATGAACAATTATTTGAATGTTTTCAAGTTTTCTATCCTGAAGCAGTACCAGATATGAACAATAATCCAGTGAGATCTCTGGATTCATTAATTCATCTATCAAATCAATAAATTCATGGTTGGTTGGAAATTAGCAGTTGGAAAGAAAGACAGGAAATTGATTCTTTATTCAATGAAAGTAATTAATTTCTTGTTCAAACATGATTTCATAAACCATGAAAATGTAAGAAGAATCTTCCAAGATGATGAATTGTTGTGGGAAGCAAGTAGTTACAATTTGGATCATCTTCATCAAAATTTGCTACATTTTCATTACAATCCAAGACATGGAATAAACAAAGTTACTCAGCAATGGTTCTGGCCATATGGATTCCATTTCTTTAGTGGCAAGTCATTTGTGATTTTTCATATTTAAGAATAGTTTCATGAATTTTAACCCAAGGCATTTGTTTTTTATTATCAAAAATAGCCTTCACCAGTGAAAAGGATACATCAATGATAGATCTTAGATTTTCAATTGAGCAGTTGTTCTTAGAGGCTGGAATCTTTCAGAGATACTCTAGTGGTAGTGAATATGAAGACGTTTCAAAAGCATGGGATAAATTCAAGGCAAAATTCTCAATAGGAATGTACAGCAATCAAATTCTGGCTAGAAACAAAGCAGAAACTGAGAAATCACTGAATGAAACAAACAAGAAGATGGATGTCAAAAAACAAGTTATGACTGATGTTGGCCACCTCACAAATTTACTGCTAGCTGCATCCAGCCATAAGGTATGGAACTTCACCAGGAATGTATGTGAAGTTTTGGATGCAATAGAAAAACTTTACCCAGGTGTCATTGCAGAGGCACAGAAAGGATACCTCTCCTTACCTCAGGAAGAAATTGAACATTTTTCTGGAATGCACAAATTACTTCTGGCCTCTTCAAGATTTGAATATTTAACTGAAATGATGAGCAACTTAAACTTGCAATACCGGCCAGGAAGACGAGATCCAGGTTCAAAATACATCCTCACAGAATCAATTGAAAGACCAGCTTCTCTCTTCAGTTATATCATCTATAACTGGGAATTATTCCAAGTTGATTATTCCAGTTCACTATCCAAGACTTCTCAAGACTTAGAAAAAGCTAAACAAACAATCAAAGACGATTTTCCCAACTTGTGGGAGAAATTAAATCAAATTAATTGGAGAAATTCTATAGCTTCTCAAACAGAGGAGAAAGGTCTTGAAAGATTCAGGAATGGGGCAAAGGAACTCAACAAGGCTATGATAGAGGAACTAGAGTTTCAAGAGGCTTCATAAATGACTTGTGAAGATTGTTCCTAACAGGGAATTTGAATTGGTTTTATGTGAGTTTTAAAGCCTCTTGTGTCTTTTGTGTCTTAGGGCCTGTACCATAGGACATGAAAATTCAATTTCTCAAAATTTATCTTGCTCAAAATTTTACATTATCAAAATTGCCCATAACTAGAAGCCAGTCTTTGGTATGAAAGTGAGGAATTTCAACACCAGATCTCTCCAATTGTTCCCAGTTTTTGTGTAGAGGATGGAAAAAAATGCCCATTTTTGAAAATTGAACCCTACAGTACAGGCCCTTATACAAATGGCAGATCACTTGAAGATTTTGTGATGAGATTACATCTTCTCTGCTTCAGTAATATCTCTTTTCTTCTGCTTTGGTTAATTTGTTATTTCTTTCTCAGATATTGTAAGTATTCTCAAATTGTGATCATTTTCACCTTGTTTTGCTTTTGTGTTCAAATTGGGTGTATGATTTTTTTCCCTCTAGAATTTTAATCTGGGTCTATCATGTCTGGATATACATGTGGGTTGATTTTATTTCTCTTTTTTTGAATTTTCTTTGGAATTTATCAAAATAAAACAGGACAGGGAGCAGTTGTGAATTGCTTGATCAAGCCTCTTACACCTCAAATTATGCAGGTTTGAGTGAACCACATGAACCTATCAGTCTGAGAGAACTTGAAGGAAGCAACAACTCCAATTTTTAACCTCTCGGTTTTCTTTACAAATCTGCAAATTGATCCAAAAATGAACACGGTCTTCTTGCCTCAAGGCCATGTTATTCTGGTCTTCCAATTTCGATAAAACTGTCTCTGTAAAATTTAGGGCAGGCAGATGGCTGCCACAGCTTGCTTCCCTGTTCTACCCCTAGAGAGATGAAGCCATTGCCTCTGACCGTCTTTTCTCCATTGATCACGCTAACAAAAGGACCTCTCAATAGATTGACAGGGGGGGGGCGATTTTGAACAGATCCGATCCAGCCTTGTTGTTAGGTGCGGATATATTCTACCACATTTTGCCTTCAGTCTCACATCCCCGTCCCGCAACAGCCTGCAACACATACTTTTTCTGTTCAATTGTACAAGTAAGAAAAAAAAGGCTTATAAGGCTTCATAATTTCCAACGTCACCGCGAGCCAGCTTTCGGTGACGTAGCCCCCTGATCCGATGTACTGCCGATATCAGTCTCAGAAAAACTGACACTGCGCAAAGAGTTCTTTGAATTTTCTTGAAATTTGTATGCTTCGGTTGAGACTCGGTAAACTGATCAGTATGTGGTATATGTAGTCACCGTACTCATCCGCCGTTGCGACTTTGAACCACCTTCAATGAGAGTCCAACGACCTCGACATACACCATAGCAGTACGGGTGTAAGCCAACTCGAGGTGGCTGTTGTGTGCCCCGCACTGAGCACCGAGAATAAGTGTGCAGTGAGGGGGCATGAAAGAGCAACGGCTTGGACTTGTCTGCTCGAGGCCTTGTACGCAAACAGCTTGTTTCCAACCGCGGGCGCGATGTGTGCGGGCGAGGTTCTTGTTGGCCATTGCTCACTCTCTGCAAGCAGTTAAGACACTCGGTGAATCAGATCCAGGGATATGTTGTATGGTGTAGATCTACAGTTCTTGAAGTGGCGGCTGGGAGATGCAATGCGTTTCGACGAAAAGGATGCCCGTCAAGGTTAGTTCTGCCGCCATTTGACTCTCCTCCAATGTTCACTTTTCCTTCTGTTTTCACTAACTGCTCAAATCCGCCTCGTTGACGTTCCTCCTCTGCAAGATGTTTTGCCGATTCACGACGGTTGGCTTCTGTGCTATCTCGGCTGTCATTGCGATGAACCCTGCAGTGGATCCAGCTCGTGCAATTGGGAAGGCGCATGCGGATAATTATGCTGGTGTGTTTGACTCTTCTCAGATATCCCACATGGTTAATCATGACTTTGATTGTTTCTTCGTCAATTTTCCTACTACCAACTGTTGTCACAAAAACAATCCAGGTGCCACTTCTACGCGCCTCACTCCTCTAGAAAATCAAATCCCCTCAATAGCGGGGCCATCCGATCCTAGCACATGTGAATCACACACCAGAGATCTCTGACCTGAATACAATTGGCGGAATGGTGATGCTGACGAAATTTTCTTCTTTTGAAACAGCAACTCGTGAATCTGGGGGAGCCTACACAATCACACTAGATGGACATATCCAGAGAGCTTTTGTCCCAGAAAATCCTTACCGTCTTGGTAAATGGCCCTTCTATGAATCAACAAAAAAAAACTCATATATTACATTCGATCAAGTATTTTTCTACTTAATTGATCCTAACCTTTTTTTGGTTATCTTTTCTGTTTGAAAAATCCCGATTTACAGAAAGATTAGGATACAACACACCCGAGGAAAAACACATCCTTGAGACAAAGTATTTGATCTTCGAACTTAGAGAATGTATGCCATCAAATCCTCTATCTCTCGAATCAAAACCATTAAAGCATATGGGAAAAGAAAAGCTGATTTGTTTCAATGCGATCGCAGCAACTATAAGGTCCCAAGATGAAAGTAAATTGATTTTGGAGGGAAACAGATTGACTGTGAGGGATGGAACAGTGATCGAAATTCCTCAATCTGAATTCGATGCCATCAGTAACTATCCATAATCTTCCCATCAAACCCAACTATTCCATCTTTTTTTTTTTTTTTTGGATTATAAATGTTGATCACGTCTTTGATCTTTCACTCTTCTGTGAATTGTAGGTGAATCCTCATTGACTGTCAGAGAGAAACGATATCTGAATCATATCAACCGAACCACTAATCCGGGTATAGATAGCAAGGAATGTGAGTTGAAATTCGAACTGCTTCAAGCAAATGTGAATATTATCTTTGTGTTGATCCTAGAAATAATTCTTTAGTCCTGATCATGAAAGAATTTGAGAAAAGAATAAGTGAGCCTACTCTATTCTATTGATTTTCAATCAGGCCATGGCCCCCGAAGGACATTGATTTACTTTGTTTTCTTGTTGTGTGGATTGTATAAGGCCAATTGAAAGTTCTTGAAGATGATATGAAAGACCTTCAGAAGCTCTTCAACAAGGTCAACTTAGATCGTGCTGAAATCCAGCTCAAATATGGGAATCTTCTTCTTGAAGAAAACGAGCTTCGTTGGCTGTCTCGGTTTGTCAAATCAGCGGTGAAATTCCGAAAGAAGCTGCTCATCTTACACCAACTCAAGCGCAAGTTTCTGGGGGTAATGGGGACACAAGAAAGGATGAACCAGATCAGGCGTGCAGAATCCATGGGAGCTGAAGAAGTCTTGGAATGTGTGCAAGTGTTCTGTCCCGAACGATTCCCGCCAAGTTCTAGTAGACGAAATCCGGCGGCCTCTTTGGATCGATTTGTTGACGAGCTCAGACGAGCTATGATTGGCTGGCAGTCCTTGGCTGGAGATAAAGACAGTACGATGGCGCTTTATTCGATGAAATTGACGGATGTGTTGTTCAAACATGGATTCATCAACCATCAAACTGTAAGGAAGATTTTCCAAGATGATGAGATGCTTTGGCAAGCCTCGCATTTCAACCTCGAGTATCTTCACGACCAAGGGCTTTGCTATGGCAGACACTTTAGAACTGGGATGAACAAATTCACAGAACAATGGTTCTGGCCATACAGCTTCCAGTTTCTCAGTGGTAAGGTTAATTTTCTCTTAATTCTAAAATGGGAATGCTGATGTTTTATTTGAGTATTGTCTACTGATTGTGCTTCCTCGTTTGTTTGTTTGGTTTCCTTTGTTCTTGAAACAAAAGTCTTTACGGGTGAAAAGGACGAATTGATGATAGCTCTTGGATTATCGATCCGGGAGTTGTTCACAGAGGGAGACAGATTCATGGCGACTGCTAATAGGTCAGAGGACAGTTCCAAAGCATGGGAGAACTTCAAGGAAAAAGTTCCGATGCGAGTCTACCGAGAACGAATCCTGCAGGCTGTAAACAAAGCACCAGAAGAAGAAGCTCCGAGGAGATCGCAAACTGGGCCAACAGTTTACCAAAACACTCCGGCTGTTATAGACCAGGAGATCCCAAAACAAGTGCTGTTTGATGCCCGCTATCTGACCAGGATCATGTTAGATTTGCCGTATCGTGAGGAGAGGCCCTTGGTCAGTGCAGCCTGCGAATTTTTGGAGCTGGTTGAGAAGCTTTACCCGGGGGTGATTGCGGAGGCACACCAGACGCAGCATTACACGAGGGAGCAGATCCGATACATCCTTGGCACACACCGTCTGCTCTTGGCAAGCTCCAGATACTCGTATTTACTCCGAACGATGGAGCACTTGAGTTGGCAATACGGCGTCCACGGAGAATCTCGATTGAATTCGTACTTGATGCAAGAATCCGCAGTCCGACCGGCTTCCCACTTCGATTATATACTCTACAACTGGGAAGTCTTCCAGCTCGATTATCGCACATGGCTATCGCAGACATCCGAAGAGTTGCAGAACGCGAAGGAGATAATCCATCAGATCTCGGCCCATTGGTGGACCGACACGCCTCAAAGGGATTTGCGACAGTTGATCGATTCTCAAACTGTGGAGAATGGTCTTGAAGCTTTCGACCGTGGCGCGGCAATCCTGAACAAGGCTATGATCGAGGAAAAACAACATGCTCTTGGTGTGTGAGGAAAGCTCTGACAGGCCTCAGCAAGCTCTGCCTAGTCTTTCTGGTATAGTTTTAACATAAAATATCTACATCTACATTTGTATTGTCCACTTCAAATGGTCTACATATAAATACTTCTGCCCATCTTACATATATCATTATGGTCATTTTTCTCTGTTGAGATGCGTGGAGCGGATTGATCTGGTTGCTTATTCTGGGTACATATTCTTTTGTAATGTTTTTGGAGAATTGGGCCCCAACCTCTTAACAGCCAAATAAACGATTATTTGGATCGATGAATTGAGTATGTTACATGCTTGATACCAAGTGATTATATGTAGAATACGATGAAACCGAAGAATGTGCTACCGGATCATGTCTGTGATCGATGGCGATGGATGGCATAAGTTGCCGCTTTCATTCAGCTTGTACGGCAATGGCCTTTACCCGGCGTGTCAGGGAGTGATCCCACCATCCATCCAAGCTTCCTCAATGAAGCTGATTAGGCAGAGGCCAGACTATGAAGGTCTGACCATGAGTTCCCATCGATCAACTCAACACACACACACGCCTCAAGGCAACTTCAAACCCACGTTTCACTTGTGATCCCCAATCTCTTTCTTCATAAACACTTCCTAACCAAGCCTATTTCTTGCATTCACATATACCGATATCCTTGTAACGTATGTACAGTTTACACAAACAAACAAAAAAGAAGTCGGATGACATATGTATAACGATGTAAGGAAAAAAAAAACAAGGAAAAAAGAGGGAAACGGTGGTTTATTTACATCAAGATGATCCTGTTTAATTCTGACAACTGTCGAGAGAGAGAGGGAGATGTTTTGTTGCTATTTTTACGGAATATAGATGTAGGGGGGGGGGTTGAAAGATAGATTGCTTTCTTTTTTGTTGCGGATATATATATGTGCATAAGAAAGAGAGAGCCAAAGTGTATTTTTTTGAGTGAAAGAGATATGAGCAAGTTGTGAAGGGAACCAAAGAAGGGATGAACCGGAGTGAAGATTAACGACACGAGTCGGCCTCGATGACGAATCGATCGAGCAACCTGCCGTCGCTTGCCCGGGTAGACCAGACCAAGCGATCGGTAGCGGAGTAATGACCGGCCTCCCAGACCTGGGAATTCTTGTGCTGAGGATCATCATCCGAAGAATGACGGAGATCGGTGGGGCCTTGACAGACCAATTGACTGCCGATGAGCTTGTAGACCCGGACCTTCTTCTCCTTGAATGCTCTGCGTTTGTTGCGCGAATCGTCCCAGTCTTGGTTCCACTCTTCGACCGAGGAGAGCGTCTGAGACATGTCGAGCTGGAGATGGTTGAAGTGGAACTGGCCGAGGACGGTGCGTTCGTAGAACCCCCACTCCTCGACCCGCTCCGAATCCAACACGCCCCCCGCCCCGCCGCTGATCACATAGACCACCCCATGGTCCATCTGTGGGTTCACCGGATCATACACCTGCTTGTTCTGCGTCCGCGCCATCTTCTTTAGCTCGACTGGGATCCCCGCTGAGTTCGTCTCCCCAAAGTATTGCCCCGCTACAAAGTTGCTCAACATCCCCCGTGCATACATGTGCGAATGTCCCGAAATCACCATCGAGGCTGGTGGAATATCGTATCTTGAGGTCAGAGGTGATAAGCCATGAAAGTGTGGTGCAAATCGAGTTCGAACGTATGATCCCCTTTTCATAAACCCAAGAAGAAATTGAAAAAAAAAAAAAAACAATTAGTTTTTTGTACTTGGATTCTTCTGTTTTTTTTTTTTTTGGGAATGACTTACCAAGCCGATTCATGGCCCTGATTCCACATCTGTTTCTCCCAGAACTCGATAAAGGGGGGGACATGAACGAGGATGATTCTGATACTAGCCTCCTTCCATTCGGGGCGAGCCATTTCCCAGAGCAGCCAGCGTTCGTGTTCGTCGACCTCGGAGAGGGAGGATTGCGGGGAGAGTTTCCTGGTGGGTTCGAGGTTGGAGTCGCAGACGATGACTCGAACTCTCGGATGAGGGGAGTACGCAAAGTAGGTCCCTCTAGCTTGAGGGTCCCGTTCGTGTGCGGTGAAGGTCGTATAACTCTTATCTGCCTCTGCAATCCCAGGGATCTCTAAAGGAGAGTTCGAGTTCAGGTTGGCGGTCTGGGTCCGGTTCATCTCTCCGATCTGGACCTTGGGCAGTCCGCCGGAGTATAAGTTGTGGCCCGAGTTATCAAAGTCGTGGTTCCCCTTGGCATAGACGATCGGGATCTCGGAGGCGAGCTTGTTCTTGAACGTGAGTGGGTCCCAGAAGTCGGTCTGCCATTGTTTGAGGTTGTGTGCATCCTGGACGGCATCGCCCAGATGGAAGATCATGTTGGGTTTGTTTGGGATCGGCAGGGGATGGTTGATGAGTTGGCGGGGCGAGAAGATGGACTTGGGTGAGGGCAGATAGGCTTTGATGTTGATGAATCGTTTGACGAGCTTCCTGAAGGTCTTGACTGCAAACTGGTTATCCCCAATGACGACGATGTGTAGTACGTCGCTCGGGGATCTCGAGGTGGCTGAGGTTTCAGAGATTCGATGGTGGCCGTGGTTGAGGTCGATTGGGTCGATGCCATGCCAGGTGAATCGATGCTTGGAGTAGGTCTTCTTGATCATCTCGAATTGGTTATTAGTATCATGATGTTGATTGTTGTTGTTGAAGTGACTGTTGAGTAGGACGATCTCATAGACGTAGGTGGTGCCCGGTTCTAGTTCTTCGAGTAGGGCAGTGTGTACCCATCTCCTCCATCCGTTGTCGCCCTCTGGTCTGGTCCTTCTGATGTTCGTAGCGATCTTGCCGGTGGTCAGTTTGAGTAGTCGTTCTTGGGTTGAGCTTGGGGAGGCGGTCTGATTCTTGTAGCCCTGTCCGATGGCCCAGTACCTCAGTCCTAGTTGGTGGCCGGATGAGCTTGCCATCTTGTTTGACTCCCATACGACGGCTGCTGATTGTGATGAGTGGATGAAGATGAGCGGAGGTTTTCGTATCTTGAGTCCGATTCCGATCCAGCCAGCCGAGAGTAGTCCGTCTGCGATCTTGAATCTGAAGAGGATGAGGAGTGTGTTGGATGCCCAGTAGATGAGTAGGATGAGTAGGATGAGTAGGATGATCGGTCTGATTGAGGCTGAGTGAGTTGGGATGAGTCTGCTTAGTTTCCTCCTCCTGTGTGAGTTTGAGTTGTTGTTGTAGCCTGGTAGTGTTGGTGGTGAGTTTGATCTGAAGTAGGATGAGTTCCTCTTGGAATTGCTTGGTGAAGTCCTGAGCATGTTGTTTGTTGTTTTGTTGGTTTTTGTTGGTTTGTTTGTTGTTGGCTGGGGGCAGAGAGTGAGTTGTTTTTATGGTGGTGATTTGAAATTCCGAAGGCGCTGGCTGATCTCTTCAAGACCAACCATCTCCCATACAGTCTGAGTCTGCACCACTCCTAACAACACAGCACCACTGCTCATCAACTGACTGTTTCTCTCCGAGAACTGGCTTGAAGATGATGGCCTACATATCTGGGGTTTGATTGGCTATCACCAAAACAAACAAAACACTTGGACTTCGCCGTTTACTCAATATTTTTTTTCACTTTTTTTTTCATGGTGTGAAGTGCTAAAAGGTCTCAGCTGCGGAAACGATTGCGCTGCGCTCTTATCCCCCCCGCCTTCCGACCGTTGGACTTGGTCTCGTCACTCGAACAGCTGGCCAATCTTTTGTCTGCAGAACCACTTCAAACTACTACACCTCACTCGAACTCCCCGACAAGACAGTCATCATCACCAACACCCAGACTAGACTAAACACTACTCCAGGTTCAGCATGCCAAAGGTTCACCATCCATCACTCACTCCCCAGACTTCTCTCAAGACTCCTGACAATCCCTTTTTTTTTCTTTCATTTCTTACAGAACAAAGGCAAGGGAGGCAAGAATCGTCGGAGAGGAAAAAACGAGAACGAGTGCGAAAAGCGAGAACTGGTATTCAAGGAGGACGGACAAGGTAAAAACAAAACCACCACTACCATCAGTTCAGACGATCCTAACTATCTCCAATCGATCTCATATCAGAATATGCACAGGTCACCAAGATGCTCGGGAACGGCCGCTTAGAAGCCATGTGCTTCGATGGCGAGAAACGCCTGGCTCATATTCGTGGCAAGATGCGGAAGAAGGTCCGCAACGATCCTGTCTTCAGAGCTTCAGTTTATCTTATTAAAAAAAAAAAAAAAAAACTTGAACTATCTCTATAACAGGTCTGGATCAACCAAGGTGATATCATCCTGATCTCTCTGCGAGACTTCCAAGACGACAAAGCCGATGTGATCCAGAAGTACACCACCGACGAAGCCCGGAACCTCAAGGCCTACGGCGAACTGCCAGAGAGTGCCAAGATCAACGAGACAGATACCTTCGGTCCTGGGGAGGATGATGAATGCAATTTCGAGTTCGAAGAGGTACTTGCTTCTTCTTCATCATCCTTCTCTCATCAACTTCACACTAACTCTCTGCTTCGGTTTTTTTTTTACTAAGGCTGATATCGATGATATCTAAGCCATTCCCATCATTGATTGTGTTTCTATGAACTACTACATACATCGTTTCTCTTCTCTTCTCTTGTTCTTTCTTTCTTTTTTGGTGTGTATCCAAGGTTTTCTTTTCTTTTTTTTTGTGTGTTTTTGATTCTTATTGTTATTATTGATGATGATGAGAGATTGAATGTTCCAGAGATGGATGGATATTCGGAACCTGATTATCCTTCTGGTTGGAGAGATTGAGTTTGTGGATGAGCTCGAGTGAATTTTTGTAAACCTGCAGCTCACCACTGATAGCTGTATCATACACAGATCTGAGTTTAGGTAGATCCATTAAATACATAAAGAGATACATCAAATGGTAAATAATGTTAAAATGATAGTGGCAACATGGAGGATAAAAATGCCAGCGAAAATGGGTACAAACACACTAAGCATGCTGATCATGGGATCAGAAGAGCACAACTTGATAGTGGGATTCATGTGCAGGTCAGAAGTCTTATGTGCATGTGATTTCTTGAGATTGTGGCAGTCATAATATTCATATATATTGGGACTTCATATGCAGAAAGAAAGCGAGGGAAACCTGCATGGGAATCTGCTGTGCTATGTGTACTACTTGGTTTTATAATATCAGACAGGTCTGTCTAGCAGAAGCCCCTTGACTTTTGATGGAAAATGCAGTAGTAAGTAAGCATTCCTCAGATTCTTTGAATCATCTGCATAGAGAAGATCAAGAACAAGAAGAAGAAAACTGCTCTGATCTGGATATGGATGAGCTACTATGAAAATCAGTGCTTAGATTCAATTGAGTATAATATCCTCCACATTCATATTATGGATTGGAATCCTTGATCATGAGATGTTTACAAATACTCAAGTGTGAATCTATTCAAATCCACATCAAGAACTTGTTGGAACTGATGACAGAAGTGGTGGTGCTGATGATCACATGGTTTTTAAAACAACATCTTTAAATTATGTAGCCTGCTCATCATTACTACCATCAATTGTGATCAGTCATTTGCTTTGGTTGACATGTTGAAGCAAGCTGAAAAAAAAAAGAAAGTGAAAGTGAAAGCAAAAGCAAAAGTGAATGATGTTGTGCCAATCTTATTTTTGTGTAAATATTTGGCATTGCAGATTGTGAGTTTACAACTATAGGATGAGCGTAATAGCAGGGATTGGATAGTTTTTTTTTTGATAAAAAGGGGGCCAATCTTTTACCGTGTACATAATACTCACATCAGATGATGATCTAAGTTTAAGGATATTTACAATTAAGATTTCCAATAAAAAACAGAAAATGGGTAGAACAGGAACTAGAAAAATCAGCCCCAAAGATCTAGACAAATCTTGATTTATGACGATATGAATTTCTAGATAGACAATCGGCCGTTGAGTGATGGATGTGCTCAAGTGATGCCAATCAATTTGAGTCTTTCTTGTTGAAGATAGAGAAGCTACTTATCAGATTTTTGGTGGCTGGAGAACCAGAATTGGGAAAGATTTGTTGAGCTGCTTGACAGCTGATCATCCGTTTAAAAGTCACTGGGGCAGTCTCTCATGAAGTCCATCGAACTTTGCAAGTCTTCGATTTTCATCATAGTCTAAACAAAGAGCTTGAACTATAAAACAAACAAATTGGAGAGATTTCATGTGAGTGGAAGGGTAGGGAAGTCCGATTATGAGCTTGCTATTTGTGATGGTTGTTGTTGAGAATTGATGAATTTCTGGACTAGTTGGTATCCGATTGGATCCAACTCTTGACAATCTTCGTCCATCTGTTTCATGTGGATCCCACTCAGCTCTCCGAATAGATCGACAGTCGGTCTGACGAGATCGTTGACAGTGATGCGAGGTTGAGGGTGTGCTAAGACGGATTGGATGCTAGTCAGTTGGGTGTTTCTTAGACCACAGGCGACGATCTCCTTGAATCCACGCTCGCACTCCTGCTCGATATTCAGTGCGAACCCATGGCTTGTGATCCTCCTTCGGACTTGGATTCCAACGCTGGCAATCTTGCACCATTGGCTGCCGATGAAGATCCCGACCGGCAGATCCGGATTGTCGGCTGGATTGAGACTGATGATCGGGCGCGGTAAGGTCGGATGGACTAAGATTGATCTCAATAGATTCATCAAAAAGTCCACGTACATCCTCGTATTCAACTGGAGCGGGGGGAAAAAAAAAACAACGCGTGAATATTGACTATTTGGTATTAAATCGGATCTTCAACTCAACATTCATCAGGCCTAGATTCAGGATAGGGTAAGCGACCAATTGACCAGGCCCATGGAAAGTGATTTGTCCGCCACGAAGGGTAGGAAAGAAATCTGCGCGTGGGTTGAGGATAGATAGTCTGCTACGTTCGAGTTCGAGTTGGTGATCAGATAGTTGTCTCCTGCCGGTGGTATAGACTGGATGATGTTGGAGCAAGATCAGCCAATCTGGAGCGGATGGATGATCGATCTTGTGCCGAACGAGTGAGTTCTGGAACTCGTATCCATCCTGATATCTGACTAAATCTTTGAGGTATGTCCAGATGATCGGTCTTGGTCTTGTGGATGGTTCGTGCTGGTGATGGCTGCTGCTGCTGGTGAATCGAAGCTGGTAGTGGTTTGGTCGTGATAGTCTTCCAAGTCCCGATAGTCCCTTTCTGATGGTTTCGTGTAGTGCTTCTCTCATTTCCTATGTAGATTGACTGTCGTGTCTTTTTTTACATATGAGGAGGGCAAGGCTACATTTGGGTTTATACATTTTTGAGTTTCTGCCCGAGTTTCTGCCCAGGCAGAACAGACATCCATCTGTGAAAAAGCCCAATCAGCGGTCAAGAGCAAACCGGTCGAGCCAAGTCCACTAATTCAAGCCTTCCCTGACCTCAACAGTCTAGTTTTCTGTATCTGCAGGTCCTACCCGAGCGTCTGATTAGCTTCCACCGATCGACAACTGACTGAGCACTGAAATTCATCGTCAGGAGATCATCACACTGCAAAAAAAAAAAAAAAAATCCCAAGCATGAGCGAACGTACCAAACTCGTGGTACGCCATCTACCACCCAGCTTACCCGAGGAAGTCTTCTGGAAAACTCTTTCGCGTTGGCTGGAACCCATCCCTCGGGAGGATGGCACCCTCGACCCACCCAGATGTACTGCGACCTTCAAATCATACGTACCAGGCAAGACCAGGCGAAAGTGAGCCTCCTCGAGATCCGTATTCCCTTCATCCTCCTCTCTCGGCCTGATCATGAGCTTCAGATCTCAAATATCAACGTCGAATCAGCTAGCACTCACATTGCCTTCTATTTGGATTCCTCTGGTCGAATTATTCAAGCAAAACAAAAGTCGAGATCCCTTCAAGAGCTTACATTCAATTCGCAACTCCCGACCAAGTCGTCGAATTCCACCAGGGGTACGCCAGCCAGGCTTTCCGGGATAGTCACGGCAAGTCTCCCCGTCTTTTTTTTTTTTTGCGGACTGCCATCTGTCTCAAATGATCATCCGTTTGACGCTGTTTTGAACACAGGAAATGTGACATTCCCCAAGGTAGAATTTGCTCCTTACCAAAAGGTCGCTGGCCCACCCAAGAAGATTGACAGTCGGATTGGGACCATAGATACAGGTTCGCTCGAGTATCCAGCCAATGTATTCTATTGAAAACTGTGCACAATGATGATAATAACTTGAACGCCTCACGTTTTCAGATCATGATTATCAAGCATTCCTCGCCAGGCTTAATGCACCAGTCCCTGAACCTAACACTAACCCTGACAAGCCAGATGAGGCGCCAGAAAAAGTCGAGCGACCCGAAATAACACCGTTGATCGAGCATCTTCGTAATGCCCGCCAGGCTGCCCAAGAGGCCGCGCTGACTGCTAAACAACAAAGGCAAGCAGCCACCTCTGCCAAATCTACATCTGGCCGCTCATTTGCTGGCCCACCTCAAATCATGAAAAGGGTGGCAACAAACAACGAGAGCAACCAGCCAACCGGCGTCTCATCACGCAAATCTGGTGATCCTGCATCCCACGATCCACCTCCTCACAAAATCGATTCGGCACCATCGACTTCAAAAGGAGTCAAGCAAACGGGGAAGTCTTCGTCAACAGCGGCTGCCTCAACTGGCCAAACTACCTCTGCCGGTTCGAATACCAAATCCCGTCCAAATAAGCCACCCAAGTCTAAACGGGCTGGGCGCGGAGCCGATGATCAATCCTCTCATCCGCCGGCAACCGATTCTCAGGGTAAAAGCTCAGCATCCACTCAGCAACCGAAGATGATTCTTCAACCTCCCAAGCCAAGCGATTCGAACTCAGAGAAACAGACCTCAACTACTCCCAAAAACCCAACACAAAGCCCGGCCAAGAGTGGGAAGAAGCAAGGATCTTCTTTAGCTGAGCAAGGACAGGGAAGTCAGAATGGGCCCACAAAACCTCCCAACTCGACTCGTGAAGGCCCTGGCGGATCCAAAAAGTCCGGACGAGGAGGAGGTGCAGCCGGCCGAGGAGGCAAAGGGGGAAAGACAACCACCGGACCGGGGAACCCGACTTCCCAAGCCACCCAACCATCATCGTCCTCCTCATCAGCTCCTGTTGCGACTGCTGCAACTCAGAAACCCAAGAATCACGAGCCTGCTAAGACCGAGCCGAATAGTAGTGAGACTGCCGCTGCCCGGAGGAGATTGGGAAACGCCTTGGCTGGGATCACTTCTAAACCAGACCACCCTTCTACTAGGAAGAAACAAAACTCGAAAACCGCTCCTCCTTCCTCCTCCAATCCACCACCTGCAGACTGATTTTCTTCTTGAAATGGTTGGAAGTTTATTGGTTGGTTCTTTTGTAAACACAGTTTTTTTCTTTTGTTCTCGTCTTCTTCTTATATTTTGTAATCAACAAATGATCAGCTTGTTTTTTTTTAAAAAAAAAATCTCTGGGGTCTAATCATGCAAATCCTGCTATTATGCAACATCATACATTCAAACTTTTTTTTTGTTTGGGAGGAAACTGAGAAGAGTTTTCTGGCAAAAAGAGCATCTTGATGGATCAGGTGGTGCGGGCAACACTGTCACAGATACGGTATCTGCCATGTATCTGCCATGTATCACTATGTATCTGAGCCCCAATAAAAAAACCTATCTGACCAATCTGCTTTTATTTGCAAGGAGATTCAACAAATTTGGTTTTTGGCCATGCAGCTTTGCAGAATTCTCCATGATACATACAGTGTATCGTATCTGTGACAGTGTTGGTGCGGGGGTTATCAAATAATGATGCACGGAAAATTACAGACATCTATAAGATTGCAAAGGAATATTGTTCACAGAGAAATCAGTCCTTTTCTGAACAGAGAGGTATGTAGAGGAAATATTCCGGTCTCTGATTTCTGTTAGTATTCAAATATCTGTGTGGATTTTTGTATTTTTACTGGGACAGGCAATGAGGTCTTGATCTTAGGTGTAAACAAGAGATTTGGAGCACCTCTTCAGCTTTACATAATTGACAAGCCACTTTGGAAGGCTCCAAAATCCTCTGATTATACCTGCTGATTTGCTTAGCTAGTGTGATTTGTTCAAACAATCTTTCTGTGACATAGGTTTTAGACTAAGCTACCTTGAAGAAAAGGAAACAAGCTCAACACAACAATGTTTGAGAATCCCTTTTGTCATCAAGGGGGAAATAAACTTGGAAATTTAATGAACTGTTTTGCAAAAAATATCACAAGGGAATAAGCTTCTTGGGTAATTTATTTTAAGATTTGTTGAGTGTTTCTAAGTGCAACACATTTTAGCATAGAGGCCCAACAACAGAAAGATGCAGATTGTGCTATGAAACGGAAGAACAAAAAAACTGGTAACTTATGGAATCTTGTCCTGAGCCTGTGTGAAAAACTACAGGAAGGAAACAACCTCTCTCAGCCTCAGGACAGGCAGGAGGATGATTATAAAAGTAGAAGCTCTGAAAGACACAAACAATTCTGATTATTCAACCTGTAATAGATTTCTGCCTCCAATCCACTTCTTTGGGTGGACTGGAGCATTTGGGGTGGCATAACCTCCAAGGCAGAGGTCATGGCAATGCTGTGGGATGCCATACTGAGCCATCTTCAAGTCCACATCCCACCACCCATTATAATCACTTCACACTTCATTCCAGGGCCAATGTTTTTGATTATAGGCTGAGTAGAGGGTAAGAATATAATCTTCTCTCTATCTGGCTTGTTGTTATTCCAAATACACAAATACACACTTTCTCAAGTGTTGACATTAGGATAAATATGTTGGTTTTCATAACATTGTATTCTATATATCACCATGGAGTTCTTCCAGATTCAGACATATGTGCACATCCAAAGATCTCTGTTGAGCTTTCATATGCCCAAGTCATTTTAATTTTGGATTGATAAGATTAATCAAAGCTGATGCTAATAACTGGAAAGTAAACCCCCCACTTCTCTACCCAGTATCCCACTCCAGCCTAACTCCCCCCCCCCCAGCTTTGCAATACCACTGCAATAGATTAGGGTAATATTAGGTCTTAGTAATTGGAATGGGTTGCATGAGGATCCCCTTGATAGCTTACATCAATGGGACAAGATTATGGTTGGATTCATTTTTTCTTTTTGTTCAAATTTAGCACTGAATTAAGATTTTCACAAGTATAATGAAACTTTCAGATCATATTGAGTGGATGTTTTTTGATTTCCAATCATCATTTGTGTCAAATTGTATTAATTTGACTCAGCATTATGGTCTTGCAAGACGGTCTGGGCACAGTCCAAAGTCCTATTTGGACGAGTGCCACTGGGGGTTTGGAATGTACCCAGATTGCTTGATCAAGCAGGGTAGGCGGGGGGCAGGACTTTGCACTTAGCCAAGTTCTGCTGGGCCCACTTCAATCTCTTGGCCAAGAGGATCATCGGCCATCAACTCCAACTCAGACTCAACAATACAAAAAATTGTAAAGAAAATAGATACATTAGCAATTTATTAACCTACTACCCCCCAATCAATGTGTGAAGAGAGTGAGGAGGGATTTACTTGGTCAATACACCCCTTGAGTTATGGGATGCATCAAATTTTGGCCAGTGTGGCACCCTCACTTGATTTTGGGCAAGTGAGGCTTTGCTCTGATCCCAGCTAAATTTTGCATATGTCAAGTGGGGGTTGGGAGGGTTCCACATATGCTTTAGGATTGGCCAAGCAGGCTTTGGGATTGGCCCTGAGTGCTTGGCCTTTTTTGGACAAACTTTGGTATGTGCTCAGACAGGCTTTCAATATCATATATTGTAGCTTTTTTGCTGTGTGCAAATTTTTGCAATTTGTGGTTAAGTGAGACTGAATCTTTTTATTTTGAAATTTTTCTTGAGACTTCTATTTTACTTTTTGAATTTTTATTCTGAAAGAGTCATTGAACTTGGTTTTCCTAATTGGCTTCTTGATTGGACATAGTTGGATTGTCAGTATCTTTATCCAGATCTTCTTAGATCATCTGAACTAGTTAGGGCTTGAAGCCAAATAAAAATCTAGAGATCAAATGCTGAAATTATGTTTGCTATATGCCAAACTGTTTCTGTTATTTTTCTACTTTTCCAAAAAGGTTCTCTGAGTAGTTTTCATACAATCAGGTTCACAACCCAGATTTTCCAGCTGCACCACAGCCCACATCACCAGACATGACAAGCTCTCATGGACCATCATAAACCCATCAGGGATCCCCTGGAATATTTTTGGCCTGAAATTAACAACTAAAAAAATTGGAAAGCATCCCACTCATTCCTCAGGAGATTACCTCAATCTGTCTTGGAAAGCCCTTACCTATTTGTATTAAATTTTAACTGCCATTTTACATGCATATATGATCTACACAGAAAAAATAAATGTAGGAACTTCACATGGCTTGCTATCTCACATTTAAAACACCTTTTGGGCACAGGTGAATCACTGGCACGTCCCAGTGAATCTCACAACCGCCCTCCTCCCTCCGTCTCCCTCATAGTTCCTATGTAAAAGCAGTATTCAGTTGGGTGTGTCACTGAACCCTTGCTAAAAGAACTGCATAAACTCACATCAAATTAACCAACAAACAACAACTTTCAAGTACTGTTTAAGCTTATCTTTAAGCAATTCAGTGTTGTCTTCAATCTCAGCAATAAGGTACCCCTCAAGTGTGTTAGTGGACTGCACTACAGTGGCACAACCCATGTTACTGTACACCATCACCAGCAAAAAAATTTTTGGCCTGTCGGCCTAATGTTTGTAGGCACTTGGGGTCCATCACCCATTTTTATTGTATATTTGGGCTTTTTGAGGGCAGTAGTTCCCATAGATAAAAGGGCTAAGCCCCCACTGCTCCAACAAAAAAGTTTTTTTTATTTGGGGTCAACATTTCGGAATCCATGCGCTTGAATGCCCCTACAGTCTCATATTCATGTACTTAACTCTGATAACACATAAGTATGGCTTCTCCCACCAAAGATATGTGCATAAACTATAACCTACATTTCATTTTTGTTGCTGCCAAACATGGTAATTTGACTCTGGGATGTAATTTTTTCCAAACAAGTGGCAAAAATTGCACAATTTTTAAAATTTCCAAGCCCCAAAACCTAAATTTTCCTTGGATCCTGCCCTTCCCAGGGCAGATTTTCTTGATTTTTTTCCTTCAAACATTTCGGAACCCCAAAATCCATGTACAGTAGGATGGGTTGCGCCACTGTACCAAAAAGAAGACAATACTTTCTAGCTGATGATCAAGTTGGATATTTTGAACAAAAATGTCCCTGGTTTCATGAGAACTAACAAGCACTTGCATGGTTTGCTGAAAAGAGAATACATTCCAATCACTTTTAACACCTCTCCTCAATGGACCCATTTTGCTATAGGCTGAAAGTAACAGGACCATGGGATAATATTCAAGATCTTGCTTGTACCACAAAATCATGTGCAAATGAAAACAATGGGTTAATGAGGATGCCATGTACTTTTCTAACCCTTGTTTTTCAATCTTTAACTTCTGGTTCTAGTTTCAATAATCAATCCTGTTATATTGATGAAAATTTGCAGAAGGGTTTTATAAAGGTTTCTTCTTCTGCAGCTGCAGCTCCTCCCCTTACTTTCATTTCACACTTGTTGAATAATTTGGATGGCTGTAAGTTTTTATCAAAAATTGATCTAAAGGCAACCTTTAATTTATTGGGGGTAGCTCTGGGTCACAAATGGAAAACAGCTTTCAGCCCTCTGAGCCCAGTCAGTTTATAACCGCATAAAGTGTTTGAGCAGGTTTTGAAAAAATTTTGAACTTCTTTCTGATTTCTTTTTTGTTTTCAAATACTTTTCAAACAAAAAAAAAATATAAAAACCAAAAGCTGTTTATAATCAGGGCCTGAGTTTTCTTGGAAATAACCTTATTTCATCACTAATTCTCTGCCACAATTGAAGAAACATTGGGTTAAATATCTAAGAGTGCTCTGACATAAAACACATAAGAAGTAATGTAGGGAGGGTGTTGGGGGATGTGAAAATTTATCAAATCAAGTTGAAATCTGTAAGATTATCAAGAGATTCAAGATTGGTGATCACCAAACAACAAAGCAAAAGTGAAAAAGGACCAGAAACCTAAGGTTGAAAGCCTAAAGAGCAAAAGCACCATTCTTAGCATGCAGAATTCAGATGAGAAAAAAAAACATAAATGAACTACTAACTTGCATCAGAGCGCAGTAAGAATTGTTTGGCATACTTGATTCCCAGTTCATCTTTATGGTGCAACAGTAGATCCACATTAGTAGTCAGCAATCTCTTCAAAGCTTGCTTCAATTCAAGACTGAGGAAGTTAAAAGCATCGAGTTCATAGAACACTAGGGAAGCCTGGCGAAGATCCGGTTCTCCATGAGGAGGTAGTTCGTAAGTCTTTGTGAAATTTTCAGCCGCTTGTGCTTCTTTGACAGTTATTGGTGAGTACTTCAAGTCAAAGAGCAGCGCAAGATAAGGGTTGGCAGCAGATATATTAATACCTGCGTGTTCAGGGGTCATCCACGACTGCAATGTCTTGGTGTCAGCATTGTTTTTGACGTTCTTAACCTGAACACCACAGAATGAGATGTCTTTCTCGTCCAACGAATCTCGGGATTGATCCTTCAAGTAGATCGTCAAGATTTGATCAAATGACTTTTGGCTATGATGGCATTGCATAGCCAACCCTCGGTGTAGACCTTCCATCAATGATCCAGTGGTCGGTGTATGTGTGCAATGCATGAAGTGACTCCAAAACATCATCCCCTCATCCAACAGTCTTTTCTTCTGGTAACTATTAATTGAACCCAGAGGCAGTTCATTTGCCGGAACTCCAGTGAGGGTTTCCAGAAACTTTGCCACGGGGACGGGGCTAGGAAACTCTATCAGTTTTTCGGGCAGTGAATCAATGCCCATCTGGTCTAGAGCTTCGTTTGAAGTCTTGAGATTGGCAACAGTTTTGTTCATTGCGCATAATAGAATTATCCTGCTGGCAAATTTGCCAGCCTCCCCTGTATCGACACAGCCTTGCGAGAGAACACAAGCCAGAGAATCAATACATGATATGAGCACACGCTCATTCTTATATAGATAATTGTTTGCAGCTAATGCATAAATCGGCTGTGACGGATAGAAGCTAAATTGAACTTCATGGGTTGAATCAAGGTAGGCGCAATGTGCTGCATGAGACGCAGTAAGTTCCACATTGAGACGAGCCTGGCCATGGAGAGGAACCCCAATTGTTGGGCCAAGCAATGCGAGTGCCTGGGCTTCCGTTATTTCAATCTTTTCTGTTATATTGTCGCAGAACAGAAGTTTTCCCAAAGCATACATAGCCATTCGGTTAACGACAATAGCGGGGGTTGCGGCTTCGTTGAGCGTTAGTGCATCACCGAGGTATAAGCTGTAGAAAGGAACACCGTATTGGCAAAGTCGCTCTGGAAGTGATAAGTTGTTCCAATTTTCTGGTTCATGAAGAGGGACCATCACGTCAAAGGATGCTATTTTGTAAATAGGGGGGTACAGCAGGCCTTTTCCTCCACGAGCGCCAATATCCCGCGAGCTCCGATCATATCGGCTGTTTGGCAAGAAATTGGCAATGCGAGAATTTGTGTCAACTAGAACAGCAAAGATACCGGTGCAAGTTGGTACGTTTCTCAAAGAACGGCGAAACTTCTGGAACCGTGTAACTTCTTTATTTGGCGGCAACTCGAGCAAGGCACTGGCCTCATCAATTGCCAGAACTACCTTCAACTCAGTGGATTTAAAGAAGTTGTTTTTACAGATGGACTGAGCTGCGCTACGTAGATGGGAGGGAGCGTCGTCCAGATCAGCTAGCTTGCGAAATTTGGACTGAACTTTTGAGTAAAAATCCGAGTCAATGGACTCTTGGTGCTTGTTCCATTCTTTCAATAGCTTGGTTCGATCGGATGTTTTGGTGGCTTTCTCGAAAAAACCAAGCGCAACGGACAAAATTGCTGCGATGAGTCGGTTGTAGTGATCTTCAGAGTATGGTGTTGCTAACATTTCAGTTGCAAGTTGGGATCGTGGCGGTTCACCGGTGCTACCCTCGGGGCGGAGGCAAATGTAAATGACACAAACTTCCTTTGCCAGTTCCTTGAGCAAGCGACTTTTTCCCATCATTGTCGGACCAACTAGACAGGTGTAGGGCGCAAAGTAGATTTCTTGTAACCAGGCTGATGACCACGCTTCTAGAGCCTTGATGGTTGGTGTGACAATATCATCATGACCGACATAGTCCGAGCGAAAGCCTTTTTGAACAACATCCAGGGACAACTGGGGAGGTTGAATGATGTTACGCAAAAGTCGTTCACCTGCGTCCAAGGGCTTTTCAAGCGACTGGATCTTTGCCTCGAGGCTGATTTTTTCGCTGTTGTAAAGTTGAGGGTAACGCCTCATGAGGGCAAGCTGGATTACCTTGTCTTGCTTCAGCTGAGTGTCCAGCATCAACTCATTGCTTGTGTCTTTCCATGATTGTATTGTTAGCCCAGTGGCAAATTTGATTAACATCAAGCGATATTCTCTGTTGGCAGATAAGATTCTGAAGAGTTCCTCAAGCAAATTCAAGTATCCAAGAGAAGTGGGTACTAAATGAGGAATCAGCAAGCTGGTAAAAAAGTAGAGCAAGCAAATATATGAAATCTTAGTACATACGGCTGGCACGTTGACAGAACATCATAAAATCAGCATGATCACGATCAAGAATATGGAGCTGCCTGGATCTCTCCTCCAATTTGTCTGGCTGTGAAAGAGAGGGATCTGGACTATTGGATTGATGTTTGGGGGGTATTTGGTGTGTCATGATATTGGTAGGAGGCTGGAGAGATATATGTGTAGCGAGGATCGGTGACTGTTCAGAAAGGAATACTGGGAGCTTGTTGTATTATAACTTATGTACACAACGAAGTATGCAGCTGTTGGAGTTGGTCGGAGTGGATTCCAGGATGGGTTTGTGGTTGGTTGGGTCGATAGTCGAGAGTGAAGGCTATGTGCGGGCTTTGATCGCGAAAACCAAAGTACATCCGATTAAAAACGACATCAATGGGGGTCAGTATCAACCCCCTTTTATAGTCGACAGAGTATGAAAGAGGGAGAGGGTTAGGATCAGAAACGAACCTGCGTTTGCGTGTTGTCTCATGGCGAAAATAGATGTACAGTCTATTAGAAGTCAACAAAACAAGGCTTCAGTTTGAGCCTTTTTAATAGTGATGATGAGTGAAAAGAATCAACAGAGAAAACATTAAAAGCTCACCTTCCTTCGCGCGTGCTTCACTCGCGAAATTGAAAGTACAGTCGATTAGAAAGGAACACAAAACGAGGTGTCAGTTTGCCCCCGAGAGATGAAAAAAGAGAGAAGACAGATTCGCAATGACCGACCTTTGATCCGTGCGTCGTTTGATCGCGAAATCAAATTTATACGGTGGCGGGTTTGTCAATCGCGAATCCAAAGATACAACCGATTAATAAAGAGCAAAAAGGGGGTCAGTTTGGCCCTTTTTTTATAGTGAAGACAAGTAGGAGAAGAGAGGAGTAAAGAACGAAAGCGTACCTGCGTTCATAGAACCGGTTTTGAAGCTACTTAATCGCGTTAACGCAGTACAACCTGTTTGCACAGAAAGAAGAAAGAGGGATTAGTATCGGAATCTATCACATGATGAGGGGAAGAAAAAAAAAGAAAACTGACCTGATTTACTTACGTTTATCGTTTTTCGGCGGTCGGTTTGGTGCTCCGCTCGACGAAACGGATTTGCAGCGGATCGGTGGGTGTCTGATCTGTTCGTTTTTCGTTGCACTGGTTGTGTGGGTTGGATGGAGGTGTGGTTGAGTGGAGCTTGTGCCTGCAGAGTGGATTTTCTTTTGGCGAAGACACCGGTTGGGATTGGCGTCTCGGACGAGGATAATTTTCTGGTGCGGAGGAAGGGTTCCCTTTGGGCAATGAATTGGATCGGCCGAAGGATTTGGGCTTCGCTGTGGATGTGGAAATGAAAAGCCAGGAAAAAGGCTATGTAGAATTTGAGCTTCAGTGGTCTGCCGGACCGGAAAACACCCAGATTCTACAAGAAAATCTGACGGAAATCGACTTACGTTGGGAGGTATTGGATAAACTGAACTACAAGCTTATTTCCAATCGACGGTCAAATTTCTTGCGGCGAAGAAGCGGTGGGCTACCAGATTTCTTCCGGGTGTAAACTTGAAGGAATGGACCGCGGCGAGCTTTGCTGAAAAGGAAAGTCTAGTAAGGCTAGAGGAACTACGACCAGAATGGAAAATTAACGGATGAGAGGAACGTCGAGCTACAAGTTGTACTAGAAAAATGAAAGGAGAAGGAAAGAAGATGGAACTTACTCATAAGGACAAAGATCCAATCGACTAGCTGTCGGTAATCGAGATAGATTTGAGTCACCAACGGTTTGCATGATGATACATTAGCTGAACTACACAGACAAGCCAAACCTGTGAAAGGGCCTGTGATTTGGAGTTAATCAACAAGACCCTGGTTCAATTCCCCCTCTAGACAATTTAATACAAATTTGGTCAGCTTCACACTCAGGGTGCAAATGGGCCGGGCTCGGGCCAAAATGTGCTGCCCAAACCCGACCCGCCTCAAATGGCGGGCGGTCCCGGGCCGGGTTCCTTTAGAGAACAGTGTGACCAGACCCGGCTGCGGGCACAAGCAGCCCGGGCTCGGGCGGCTACGGGCTGGGCGGCGGGCGCCCGGCTGCTGCCCGGCCTTCACATATTTGTTTTAGGCTGGAGGGGGTCTGTCATTCAGGTTGTGCATTTCATCGGATAGGGGTAGGGGTAGCTAGCTTGTACTATAGTAGGACCAGGGGGGGCACGTATGGATAGAGCATGGACAAAAATAGAAAGATAAAAATCCCAAAAAACAAGTAACCTACTCCTCCTCATCAGGCTCGTCATCGTTGATTGGTTCGTTCAACCAGTTTTGGCCACAGATTAACACCTCTACCATGGCAGGGGCAAGCCTGGATCGGTAGTCGTTGAGTACTTGGCCACCAGTTGAGAAAGCAGACTCGGAGGCTATTGAGGTCATTGGGACCATTAGGATGTTCTTTGCCATCCGTGCAAGGTTAGGGTACTGGTTTTCGTGATCCTTCCACCACTTGAGAAGGTTGAAGTGAGGTGGCCCCGATGATATGGCCACGGTTGGCTGTTGAAGGTAGAGATCAAGTTCGGCTGTTGGGGAGACTTTGTGGGTCAAGGTTTTGGCGGCAAGGTACTTCTTGAATTCACCATCGGGATCCGTTACGAGACACTGAATGTCGTCATCTTTGTCCAGCGAGGTTGTGGCTTGAACGGTTGGTTCGTTGCTTGTGTAGCTGGTGAACCAGGTGTAAAGTGTCTTCTTGATACTAGCGACACTCTCCTCGGCATCATCGTCGCCAAGATCCTTGGCAAGGAGGAAGATCAGGAGCTCGGTCTTGTAGCGTGGGTCAAAGATGAGGTTGATTGCGGCAAATTCCTTCATCGGGGCCCAGTACTTATTGAACTTGACTTGCATCGGTGCAACAATGTTGATGATGTGTTTGTTCTTGCTGCTGTGGCCATTGGCAAGGCACTTCTCAATGGCCTTCATGTTCTTGTAAACGAGATGAGCGGTCGGATAGATAGTGCCCCCAAGCTCCAAGGTTGCTGATAAGAGCCGTTCGAATTGTGGTCAGTTCCTGTCCTCAGCAAACAGTTGATTTCGACAGACTGAGGCTTACCGGTCTCAAATATCTCAAGGAATTTGGCCATTGTTTCAAGTTGAATCCACTCAGCATCCGAGGCACTTCGTAATAGTAAGCATCGTGAATTTG